ACATGGCTTTCAAAGTAGCTCGATATATAACTCACACGCATTTACGTCAGCTAAAACTATCGATTAAGCATAATGTTCCATGCTCAATCCAAACTATATAACCGCAACTGATAATTCATTGACGTACAATCATTACTTATTAGCTAAAGAACAGGGTGTTGAGATAATAAAAAGCTAACAATATCCTCCAAAAGATAGCAGCAACTACAAAAACCCTTTCTAGGCTGTATGATGATACTACATTGTAAGCTCAAGGGCCCAAAACCCTTCATATGAACAAACGTTGCATTGCGACTGGTCCTAGGCTTACCGCGTTCTTGTAAGCCACGGGCAACAGGCTTCGAGCTTGGCCGCTGGATAAAAATAACTATCATCATCGCTTCTAGTCAGAGTAGCCAACTACTTTTAATGAGAGACTGATAACGTATCTCGCTATAAATTGTATACTTTCGCTGCCTCTAAAGTCATGTAACTAGTTCAGGTGTTTGTGGCTGTGGCTAACGCGTAATACGCCCTTTACGTTCTGCATGGTCATTCGCTAGATATCCCCTAGCAACTTGCATCGGATTGATTAGTCTGCCAACTAATATCTTTTGATATTATCACTAGCAATGTCAGCAATTCAAGTACCATCAGGTTCCCAAATCTCTCGAGTAGATTTTCGGCATCCCTCTACGGATCCAAGTTCTGACCCTTATCCATGCCGGCTCTACTTCTCCACTTCTCCACCACAAGGCTCAGTATCAGCGATATCAACAGAAGCAAACACACCCCTCAAACCAGCAGCAGAGAAAGAGAACAACGGATTACCAAAGCCCGACGTTCTCTTAACCCACGGCGCAGCTTCCCAGCTAGACAACCCCGCACTAGACGCCTTCGCCGAAGGCCTGGCAAGTACCCATACAGTCCTCTGCTTCGAAGACCAAGGAAGCGTCCAGCACCGCGCTGCTACTTTCAAATCCCTCCTGAGTGCCTTCCCTTCCATTGCTGCTTTTGGTGGAAGGAGTAAGGGCAGCGTAGCCGCCGTCGAAGCATCCCTTGATTCAAGCGTGAAAAAGCTCATCTTATTCTCGCTCCCACTTTCCTATAAGGGGAGTAGTAGTGGTCCGGGACGAGACTTGGATCAGCTTCCACGAGATCTACTTGCGCTTCAACGCGATGTTGAGGTGCTGTTCGTAGGCGGTGATAGAGATGAGCTGTGTCTTTTTGAGGATCTCGTTGGGATCAGGAAGAGGATGGAGGCGAGGAGTTGGTTGGTGAGGATTGAAGGTGCGGATCATGGTATTAGATTTGAGATTGAGAAGAGGAGGGCGGTCTGTGAGTTTGTGGGAAGGATTGCTGGGAGGTGGTTGAGTGGGGATGTGAGTGTGTTTGAGAAGAATGAGAAATTGGCGGATGTACTGGTTGGTTGGGATGAAGGCGGGGAGGAGTTCAGGATCACATTACTTGAAGATTGAGTTGGGGTTCTCAGAAGGAGTCACTAAGGGAGGGATCATGTTTAATTGACGGTGTTGGTGATTGCCTGTTTTGAGCATATCTATAATTATTTGCTGATACATATTATTAAGTCAATCTTCTCCGTGCCTGAGAAGTCCAGAGCATTGTTTTTGGGCTTAGCGTACACAAATCAATTTTTCTCTCAACTAAAGAAGAAATTTAAACCAGAAACTAGGGGTACTGCCCTTAGACCACGGCTTTAGGACACAGCTACCATTGAAGCTCATAATAATCATAACAACTACGCCCTCATCGCCGCCAACCCCAAAGTCTTCGCCGACTGCTCAGACATCATCGTGCTGCACTATTCCATCTCCCATCAGACCCGCCTCCAAACCTTGTACGACCCTGATGGTGATGACGAGGCCACGGCGAGATCTCAAGCTGTCTCCGTGTCGCTGCCTAGAAGTGGCTTCGTCGAGGCACGTCTCGCAGCCGATTGGTAGGTGTCTGTCTCCCTGTTGTAGTGAAGCTGTCCAAGACGCAGTACTGGGACGCAACTCACACAGATACGATCCTTTTCCTGGAGAATCCCGGTAAGATGCTGGAAAGACGGCGTTTAACCTCTTCACTGGCGCGAGCGGCGATAACGGATCTAGTGGACACGAGTGTTCCAGTAGATTAAAGTTGGCGCAGATTCTAAAGGGGGGTTGCTTGACGTGAAGGGGGGCGGAGCTCCCGGTAATGATGGAGGTGGATGCCGGACATAAGTTGGCCCATGCTGACGCTTCCGATGGGGACGATGGTGAGTTTTGGGTACTGGAGCCGGGGGTTATCTTGTGATGTGATGTGATTTAATTTGGTGGCTTTTGAGCGTACGTGTATACACTAAAGTTGTGAGTTGTCTTATGTCTTCTTTACGTGATGTGAAGATGGTCTAGAATCTGGCGCTATCAAGGATTACAACATGGAGTAGAGTAGAATATGTCAACAATCTATAAATGATTTACTGTAACACTTCTGGCAAAGCCTCGAGGATAAAGAATAACCTTCTCACACGTATGTTATAATATTAAGGTTGTTATCAAAGATCATAGCCGTAAAGACGCGGTAAGAGACAATTCAAACCTCTCACGTAAAATGATAACCCAACTTCAGCCTTACGAGTATATCTTTAGAAACTGTAGATTCCTAACTTTTACCGTGAACAAGCCACTGAGTCTTGAAGACAGCTCCTCACTGGACTCTATGTAATACGGGTATAGTATCAGGACGTATATTGGCTACATACCTTAGGTAGCGGCCGGAAGTGGGAGGGCCGAGCTCCGTCAGAAATAGTCACATAATTAGCTCCAATAGATGAAGGTCAATATCATCTAGTCTTCAAGGACATGCTAATTTTAACGGTAATTAATCAGTTTCACGGTGTACTACATAGACACGTATAATTTCCTGAGGTCATGACGAGAATGGATCCAATGAATGAAGCTGAAAAAATATAGTAGAATAATCCACATTAACCAAACTAGCAAATCATTTCGCATAACAACGAGGCCGTTAACGCATCTTAGAGTATACTTAATACTGTAAGAATCAACTCTGTGGTATGACGTACTCTGCACAGTTATACACCCGTTATCTCCCTGCCAACGGTTTCATGGCTTATTAGCAGTAATGTCTCAAATTAGCATTTCTGTGTAGTCATCTTGCACAGTATTTCAAGATACCAACTCTTCCAGAATTCGCGTAGAAAATCATGGCCTTCCCCTTAGGTCACATAGTCTGAGCAACGCAGCCCAGGCCAAATACTTCTGAAGACCAAGCTTGCTTTACTGGGCTACTATATTTGTAAGCACACTGTCATTTTCTTCAACTTAAAGGACTAAAGGAATCGTTGGGCGTACGGTTAGCACCAGCAATACCGCCCGTTATTTGACCAAGTATATTAGTCAATACTAGAAATCCGGTAAGTATGTAGCCATTATCTACAGAAAAAGGTTAAAAAATCATTCATACACTTGACAACATCAGTGAGGGTAGTAGTGACGTCTTTGAGTACATTCCCAACACCGTCGACCTGAGGTACTGGGGCGGCATTGACGCCGACGGCGACTAGAGCTACGGAGAGGATGATGGTCTTGAATTGCATTTTGGCTGGTGGATGAAACAGTATAAGGATTTTAATAATACGGATGAACAACTGAGTGAGACAATAAGTGGACAGGTGGAGCTCAAATGTATATCGATTCTTGGTTAAAGGAGGAGCAAGGTTAAGACATTGACTTACTCTTATATATTTTAAGAGGACTGATCCAAAGATTAAATTTCAAGCTTTCTGCGGCAACTTGACATAACCCTTTAGTAACGGCGTCTGCTATGTTAATGGTGATCCCAATTGAATAGACATGCAACTGCCAGTATATGTGTGATCTACATATGTTACAGTATGTATATGAGATGCTTCGGAACTTTGCGTCTGGAGTGGCAACTTAACCAGCCATCTGGCGGACTCTCCCGCGCATCATGGGGTGATCTACAGCTTTCATGTATATCTAATAGGATACGATAGTTGGGTTAAGGCGAATTTAAGCCATGTCAAGTTAGTGCATAATGCTACATCAAGGGGCTGAGTTCTCGGGTGCAATAGGTACAGTAAGCGCATAAGACAATTCAACCAACATTGGTGTTGAGCTTAAGATAGCTTTCCCGTTCAATAAAGATATGCACGCACTACAAATAAGGTTAATTCAAGATAAGGATAATAGCACGAGATCATACTTTTAAGGCTTTATGGTATAGTATCATTAAAAATGGTCATGATCAGTCTGTACATACTTTATGATCATTGTCAATAGTCTTAAGTTCGTTTTTAGTACTCAGTACATGATCTGTGGGCACCACAAAAAGCTAAGAGCTAATTTTGGCTTTCGGATCATGTTGAAGAATACACGGAAGCTCTCGGATTTTGTGGTCCAAGCTCCGTACTACGTCACCAGATGAGAAGTTCGCCCGCAGTAAAACCACCCCCAGGCACCATGGAGTTCGTATTTTGGTTCTTTTCTCTGAGCACTATGCAAGAAGTGGCATTAGTACTCACTCTATCTGCTACAGCTTGATCTTCAAGCGGCATAAATATTGGACCACAAGAGATACCCGTTCGTAACATTATCATACATTTGGAGTCATAAAGAGCTTTGAAAAAGCAATATATAATTCTCAACGGTGGGCAGGACATGGTGATCCTAATCTACACATCTTTTAGTTATCTACCAGGGGCATTGGAGCAAATAGCTAACTCGTCTGGAAGTACGGAGTAGATGTAGCTAGTAATTAACCCGTTCCAAGCAGCGTGAACGGCAAGCGAAACCCTGTTTAAAAAGTTGTACTCATACAAGATCCCGGTGTAATTTTTCAGGAGAGTTCATGTGTTGTTCCTCAATTAAAAATTCTCCTCTTCTTAAGACGTTGCTTGTATTATTAATTAATTTCAACCCTCTAAGTTATTTGAACATTACTGCTTGAGCTTATACTGAAAAATAAAAGTTAAAAATAAAAATTTCATGTGTCCTCGGTGAGGCTCGAACTCACGACCTTTGGATGGCAAAGACTGTGAACAATCTTCTCATATGAAAATATGAGACCAACGCTCTAGCCAACTGAGCCACGAAGACATTTATTGATAAGAAGCTATCTATTATATTACATAATGCTATACAAAATTATACTATCCTTAAACGAGAACTTTTCTTAAAATCAAACAGAAAAAGATTTTAACGGACTAATTAGTCTAACTATGATTCTGCTGGTTTTATAAATATAAGCCCGAGAATATTGACTTACTCATTTTATATTGTCAGCGGATAGTGAGATTAAAGCGAACTTACGATGGGTGCATATGGCTAGCCGGTGTTGGGTGCAATAACTATTCGCTACCTGGAATCCATTTACCAGAGTAGTGATCAAGTTAAACCACATCTGGTATGCTGATGCATTCACGGTGAAAAAATACGAAAGGCGAGTTTCGAATACGGCTCTATATCTTGTAGTGTCCTTAGGCTTTGAACATCTCATATATGTGCTCACTCGGTTTAATTTGAAGGCAGACAAGGCTTGCATATTCATCTAAGAAAGTATCTGATGATTTATCCCGTATGATCTGATTCAAGTACGATGGAGAAATGCGATAAGAATTATCGTTTACAAAAGAATCCCGAAGGGATTGGCTAGAGTTAGGAGTTATGAACGTCGGAATTTGAACCTACGTACTCGTACTCCGTATCCGTCAACGTGGGCTAGAATTTAAGTTTTACACCCTGTGGAGCATAAAAATGAATAGGATTAAGCTTCACGTGAATGATATCAAGTAAATGAGAACTTCTCAGATCGGCGAACCAGTGCAGGGTTTATAAAACGTTATTATAAAGTCACTCAATAATCACCCTTCATAAATCATGAAAGCATGTTTATTTAAGAATTCTGTAATAAACCCATTTACATGACATTAGACAACAACCACAATGATATTCAGAATAACTATAGCAACTTCAGTTATTAATACTATATTGTTCACTCAGCCACATGTGTCCTCTATTGGAGAGACAATCATCAAATTTGAGAAGATGACAGATCACGTGATAGCTCTCTGACGCAAAAACAGGAGGATTGAAATTATCCACTCGGAATGAAACTACAAGCAGAATTGAAAACTAGGATATTGGAGAATGCAGCCTATGATTAAACGCGCTAGAACCTTTTCTCACAAGCATACGGCAAGGGGTGAATCTACACCAACGTGATGGCGTAATTTGATAAAGCAGAGATTCCTACTATGACCCTAGCTTACCGTTAGCAAATACAAAAGACCAATCTAGAAAGCAACATTCCTTTCTTTGCAGGGAATCAATTCCTAGTTGCATCCGGAAGGCGGAAGACGAGCATTATGCAAGGCATACGGGTGCCGCCACCTAAAGTAGTTTCTATTCTCATCGTCTTTCACAGCTAACCTTAACGGTGTGTCAATGTGGGTATAATTCTCCATTGTGGTTAATCTAAGTATAGGAGGTCGATATCTATGGCAGACAAAGAGAATGCGCTAGCCCGATTCGATTCCATCGAGCTACATGCAGTTGTGCAACGACAGTTCGCTCTTTGTTCAAAATTCGATTCGGATGACCAGTAGGTATCAAACCTAGAGTTGTTTGGAAGATGTTACGGAATCTTCTCAAGTGATGCATAACATTCATCATGATGATTCCAGCCCAATCGAATTATCTTTAGAATCCATTCTTTACTCCACTAAAGTTTCCATGGACTCCAGCATCTAACCTCTTCTTTATCTATAAAATATCATGCAGATATCGGTGTCGTGATCAATCCTGTCCGCGCAACAAAGACCAGCAATGCTAAACCTAGACCAAACAAAGAAGAGAGTCTACCTAAACGGTTCTGCTTAACACCATCTATTTTTGTATCGCTCCATCTGTTAAGCTGCATTGTTTGACCATTCCTCTCAGTTCCGTACGAGCACTATTGGTGGATCCAAGCATGGCAATGTCTGAGTATCATCTAGAATCATCAGAGTCATGGTCTATATAAGATTGCATTTCATCACACACGCTCTTCTTCAACTTACCTATCCAAATTCGCCATTCTCAGTAGTCCACTTTCAGCTTTCACCAGTTCTCTCCCAATATCTTTTTATTAGAACCACCGCTTTTATCTTACCCATGCCGTTCCCACTTTTAAATTCCACTATATACCTTCACGGAAATATGGGATTTACACCTGATGGCAGGCGCTTGGATATACCGCAGTGTGGAAACCTCAGTAACCTCATAGATACCATGGTTGAGAACAACTACGATGGAATCGAGCCGATCTTAACGAGTATCAAGGAGCGCAATGAGGAGCTACGCCAGTCTGGAACTTCTATGATTGCAGACACTACTCCTTCTTCAAGCAGAACCACTAGTCCAGATCTCAGCTCCGATACCTCTTTGGATGATGACGAAAGTTCTCTTGGTCGCGGTGAACACTTGATGGCATGTGGTATCTGTACCCACAGCAGCATCATCAACATCGAGCTTGGTCACAGTCCATCGGGACGTCCGGTGGTCTACCGAGAGGTTCTGTCAGCATTCAGTGAAGGTATGAGTGAGATCTCAGTTCTGGATGAGTTCCGCTATGACAAAGTCGTCGACGCGCTTCAGAACCTGAGTGGTAAGAATTCTGCTTTCAAGTTCAACAAAGGAAGGGACAACTTGCGATATATTGACTGGGAGGGCACTTCGCGACCTGTCGGCAATCAGCGCAACTTCCGAGTTGCCTTGACGGATATGTATGCTCACCAGGGAATGAGAGAGTTGTACTTCACCATCCATCGCAATGCGATCAAAGGTAAAGGTGGAAAGAAGAAGCAGAAACAGAGTCAGTCTGCTGAAGCCAGCAACGCCGCTCAAGCACCGGCTCTAGAAGACAAGCCTTCGACTCCCAATGCTGTCTCTCCAGAATCCCCAGCAACCGCCGTATCTGACAATGAAGAGTAAGAAGTTCCTTGACGGTACTGGCAGGAGGTTTCAGGATTCTAGATTGAGTCGATTTGAGGATTTGTAGGTGGCGAGATTCATGGTGATGGAAGGATACACTGGAGCATTGTGGCGTTGGATTTAGATTGTAAACTCATGATAGACTGGGATGGACTGGCGTATTACATTTGATTTTGCATTTGATTTTGTATTGCAGACATAGACACCAACTGAAGACATTCATTCAATTTCTTCGATGGCCATGTGATAGAAGTTCCAGCTGCCAAACTCAGCATGCACCCAGGTATATTGACAACTACTCTCCACTTCTACTCTCAATTCGCAAGCATGAAGATATTGGTACAGTCTCATGCTTGGATGCTAGCCACCACTCGATAGCCTGCCTGCCACTTCCACCCACTTCGACGTTGGAAGAAGCAGCAACTCAAACAACATATGAACGAACATTAAGAAGCGAAGTAAATGAATCAACGAGATAGGTACCTACCAGAAGCACCGCCTATCAAAGCAGATTAACTCTCATCAGGGAGAAGTTGAAAACAAAAATATAAGACACCATCACACTTGGTCATCTCTTTGAACCATTCAAACTAATGAGCCATGAAAAACAGACAAAATATCCAACCTAATGAACCATGAATAACAGAGACAAAAGAAGAAATAATATAAGTACCACAACATACCTGACTTTTCCAATCACATAATCCTACAAAGAGATACGGACAACAAAAATCCTCTCCGACACCAACCATAGAGAAGAACAACTCAAAAAAGAAAAACGAACATAACAAAAGGTTAACACTTCAAGTCAGATAAGTTTAAAGAAGCTACATTTTTCAAGCTTCCGCAAGGTAAGTAGATACTACCAACATTCCCCTTTCCCTATTACAACGTATTACAAGGGGCCATAAAAGCATCTAACTATGCTTGCACAGGAAAGCCAGTACCTACCATGGACGCTGTTCAAGCAAACTAAGTGAAGAGATAAGAAGCCTACCTCATACTCATAATAGAAAAAAGCGAGCTGAAAAGGACCTCTCAAGATTGATACTGGAAATAAGATCTTTTGATCATTCACATACAACATACAACATACGCTCTTCATTCTGCCACATCCAACATCGGACACTAGCTCGGAATCCTAAAAACCCTCCCGCAGCACTTTAAATCCAGTCTAGATCCTCCACGGCAAGTCGACACGAGAACAGCCCTTCACAATACAGTAATATTACGCCAAACGCAAGTGCAGCATACTCCGTACAGCCCGGGCGTTACAACACGCAGCGGAAAGTCCGAGATTTTGATTAAACGGAGTTAAAATATACGGTATTCACAATACGGTAGTGTTTTGGCATCATGGTGCTATATTGTCGTATCGCGAATCTGGTGTAGTGTGGTTCACTAATCAGGATGTGGAAGTATCCGCGAGTAAGCAAGCAAACGCTTCAGCGCAGCATAATTCAGCCACGACTGGGCCCAACAATAGATCTTGCTCACTCAATTGACTTACCCTTGGGAGTTTACCACAGCACAGCGGATTAAGGTACCGGGGCTAACGAAACTTAATTAATGTGCAGTAACCCTTTCCTGTGCTGAAAAGCCGAGAATGGAAAATTGTGGGAAGAGACGGGAAAAGGAAAAGGGAACTCGGAACAAGGCTTGATTCCTAACCCAAAATATCCCCTGTCATGAAGCATTCCCGCTTACTATGGCCCTCCACTTCTTTTTTTTTCCAATCTGGTAAAAGGCCGGCCGTTGTCCGTTTTGTCCGCCTTGTCCGCCTTGTCCGGCCGCTGTTAACTACCGTTACAACCAATACCCTTAATGTAGCTTTATCCTCAGAGAACCATGTTCGGTCATCCCCATTGGGGCTGCAGGACAGCGGGCTCGTACCATTCGTTTATAAGTATTGTAATCATAAACGAGGTAAGGTTCGCTGTAGAGTCTCGGCGAGCACCAATCGATGCTATGCATATTGGAATCGGCCTCTCAGTTTCTCACCTCAGCGTGCAGGGCGCAATATATTGTCATCTGGCCGCATGGCTCGTGAATTTTGCCTCTGTTTCCGCCAAGCAATGGTCGTGTTAGATCGGCTAGTTGCCGATTCGTGGCCTTTTGCCTACTAT